ACAGTGCACCAGAAACCAAGGCCAACAAATAAAGAAGCTAATGACCCATTGATGTAATAAATTGTATAACACTTGTTTTTGAGATAAGGTGGAATCCATCTCTTACCATTCTATCGGGAAAAATGCCAAAAAAGTCCTAAACCTTTTGCATTTGTGCCAATTTAGTCTTAAATCTTTTTTTGGTGCCAATTCAATCCTAAACATTTTGCATTTATGCCAATTTAGTCCTAAACCTTTTTTTTTGTGCCAATTCAGTCCTAAACTTTTGCATTAATGCCAATTCAGTCATAAATCATTTGTATTTGTGCCAATTCAGTTCTTCCGATCAATTTTGGTCGGATTTTGCTGACGTGGACGCCGGCCGGCCGGCGGCTGGTCACTAGCGCTAACACGGACAACTTTAATAATATATTTAATACTTTTTTGAATTTTTATTTAATTTTTTCTTTTCTTTTCTTTTCTTTTCTTTTTCCCCTCTCCTCCCTTCTTCCTCCAGCCTGTTGCCGGACCAGTGATCGGCCAGAGGCCGGAGCCGAAGAGGGCGGCCTCGCCAGATCTGGCAAGGTCGAGCCTCGCCGGCGGCTGGGCGAGGCACGACCTCACCGGATCTAGCGAGGTCGAGCCTCGCCCAGCACGAGGCCACCCTCGCCAGTGGCCAGCGTGGGCGAGCCTCGCCGGCGCCGGCCTCTGGCCTCTGGTCGGTCGCCGGTCCAGCGACCAGCTGGAGGGAGGGGAGGGGGAAAAAAAGAAAAGAAAAAAAGAAAAAAACAAATAAAAATTTAAAAAAATATTAAAACATTATTAAAGTTGTTCATGTCAGCGCCGGTCGGCATCCACGTCAACAAAATCAAGCCAAAATTAGCCGGAATGACTGAATTGGCACAAAAACAAAAGTTTAGGACTGAATTGGCACCAATGCAAAAGATTTAGGACTTAATTGGCATCATAAAAAGGTTTAGGACTGAATTTGCATCAATGCAAAAGGTTTAGGACTGAATTGGCACCAAAAAAAGATTTAGGACTAAATTGGCACCAATGCAAAAGGTTTAAGACTTTTTTGGCACTTTTCCCCCATTCTGTCTATCCACTATTCTTCAAAGAAAAATTTCAAGCCTTCATGAAATAAATAAACTAGAGCGTGAATTCCCACATAAATGTAAGGGGTGAGAAGTGACACCTTTTATGCTACAGAATGGGGCTTATGCCGTTAGAGAAATCCTCATTCCCCTAAGCCCGCATTCACTGCAGTCATTTCCGTCTTCATCCTTTCCTCAGAACTTCGATTCCTTTCCATTTGTTAATATCGTTATCATCTTTTAAATGAACCATCCAACAAGGAACTCACAAATTCAAATAGATTTTTCTCTTTTATGATGAGAGGAAGCCTATCTTAGTCAAGTAAGCCCCCAGCCCCGAGAAAATAGGAATATAAGTATGTATCTATCGCAGACCTATATATATTAGCAAGAACAACTTTTATTTAGTAGTTGTATCAATTATCATACCTCACCACCAAAGTCTGCATTTCCGGGTGTGTCAACCATATTTAGCTCATTGTCTTTCCATGCGATGGACGTTACCTGTGGATACCCACGAGTTGAAAATGTTAATTTTACACGTAATTTAAAACATAAATAGCATGGCCTCAGCAGGAAAATATAAAGCTTTATTACCCAATTAGCAAAGGTTAGAAGTTTAATCTATCAACAATTCACCAATCAAAAACTAAGTAAAAGAAAAAAGAAACAGGTGCTTAGAACTTGCATTGCATCAACTCCACCCCCACTAATCAGCGTGCACAACAATCGCAAATTAAACCAAAACACTAAACTACGGTCACGCCAACACTCCACCACGCGATTAGGCTGCATAATAATTCAATCAACCCTTCACACCACCTAATTAGTGAAGCTCAGGGAACACTTCAACGCCAAACTGACCTTCGACGCGATGGTGATGCCGCGCTCATGGGGGATGTTGGCACCGCACTGGCGGAGCAGCCGGTCCATGAGCGTGGTCTTGCCGTGGTCGACATGGGCGATCACCGCCACGTTCCGTGGTCGACGTGGTCTTGCCGTGGTCGCCGGCTCGGGTCGACCAAAGGGCCCGACGCCGCGGCAGTGGCGGCGGCGGTGGAGAAGGAGCGGCAGAAATGAAAAGCTAAGGGTTTATGCAGGGCTTTGGGATTCGCCGTCGTTTTGATGAGAAATTCTTCGAGCCAGTATGAAGTACTCGGGTGTAAGTAAGTACGTAGTAATTACCTCGTATGATGGCTCATTCATTTATTTTTATAAAAAATAATTTTTAAATTATTTATTTTTCGCGAAAACACAGTATTATCGAATTCGATCTCTTTCCAATTAGCTCATCACGCAAATTTGTAATGAATAAACCTATAGCCTACAACATTTGTTTTACGATAGTTAATGCAAAATCTCAGTTGTAAGGTTACATTCTTACAACTTGATCCGTTTTGTGCTTTAGCGTGGTCCAATTCTGATTCATAAGGGCAGAGGACGGGAAGGATCTTGTGACGAGACCAGGCTTAGGAATCATGTGGCCACGACAAGCGGATACAGCAATGTGCTCACGGACGACGACGAGGGAAGAGAGGAGTTTCTTTGATTCAATTGGGAGAAACATCAAGTGAGAGCTAGGATTGTCTTTGATTCGTGATAGACGCAAGATGTAGCAACCTAGCACAGAGAGACAGAGAGAAAGAGAGAGAGAGAGAGTGAACAAATCTAGAAACTGAAGAGAGCTTAGAGAAGACTCCAGCAAGAGGGGAACAAAAAAATACGGAAAAAGAGACAATTTTTATTCGTTTTTTCGAGAGTGGAAGAGACTGAGAATGGCTAAGTGACAAGAACGAGCAAGAGCAGAAGCAAAGTGGATGGGGAAGGAAAATATTAATACCAATTGGGGCTTTTTTGTTTTTAAGAGTTCTATTTTATATCTAGAAATTTTTTTGATTGAAATACCCCTTCTCCAGTGGCCGGAAGAGTTTTTCTTGATAAAATGGGTCTGCTTTGGTCTCTTATTTAAAAATTTTCTCGAAATATTTTTGAAATAAAGAGAAAAGATAACGAAAGTGCGTTAGATTTATCTAACGTAGCTAAGTCCTCAAATCCATGAATCTCTAGTTTGCAAAAGTAAAATGTTCTCCCACATTTTACTTGGATTTATAATTGACCCGTAATTGATTAGTGGTGACTCATAAATGATTTGAATTTGAATTGCATGTTTAATTGATTAAATTAAAACTCCAAAGTTTCTATTGGGATGGACTTAGGAGACTCTACATTAAATGTAGACTTAGTAATTCGTTAGCTTTCCCTCGGTGGTTTACCTCTGCGAAGGTCGCAACATTCACCTGATAAGCAATGATTGATTTGAGTGGATATAAATGTCGTGTTTTGGGAACAATTAAAAATATTCACTTGGCATTTCAAGGAGAAACATTTCGAAAACCCAATTAACATCAAATTCAATAAAGATGGGAGTAGTTTTTCCTAAAGCCTAATTTGACTCTCATTGATAATGGATTTTGCACATGTCTCATGCAATTCGCGCATTCTTAAATTAGGTATGAAAAACTTGTTATATTTCATATATGGCATTTCAAAATCCAACATCAAATAAGAAAGACATTATTAAATGATTCCCCCATTTTCTGTTACTAAGGTTTCTTTGAATTTTTTACTAACAATGAATTACAGTTGAGAATTACACAAGCACCATCTTATTTGGTTACTTCAAGTATTCCTTTTGTAGGGTTGGCCCACTAGAATGGGCAGGATCATCATAAATGGCATCCGAGCAAGACCACCTAAAGTAGAGATGTGCGGTTCTTGGACGAACTAGATCTATACCTAATTTGACAAGGTGGGGAGTGATCACTGAGATGAGAGGTCTCAGATAAAGTGCAGTTTCTGGCATGCTTCTATCATGACGGGAATGGACCGGTCCAAGCATAGAATATGGGGAGTATTACTAGGCGACACAGATAGAACATTGGATGGGAGAGGCATATTGAATAATTCATACAAAAAAATAATCACCACCTTATATGGTTATTTTTACTTCTTTTAGAGGCCTTGACTCATGGGGGATTGGTTGGGTCATCACGCCATATGCATAACCATTCTCATATTCTAAATTATAGATAGGTCATCTCATGTGACATGATTAAACTTTCCTGTGGAGAATCCAACCTTTTGTCTCATGCACAATCTCATGTAGCTATTGTGAATGTGTTGGCATCTAAAAATGACAGAAATGTGAATTGACCATTTTGAAAGAGATATTGGAATTGTGAGGCATTGATATATTAAGCAAGTTATCAACTTTATAATTATAATATGTCATGCAAATTATGTCAGTTAGATTGTGATTGGCATAGATTTGGCCAACACAAGGATTAACATGCTCGAGATTGGTATTAGTCAATGTGGGCACCAAAATTTGACATGTATGGCGTGGATGGTTGGTATCGAAGCATAGGACGAAGACTAGTGCGTTATAAGTGGTTGACATCCACGTGGCACAAGTAGTTAGAATACATATGGTCAACACATGGCGAACCCGTGCGCATGAATACTAAATCCAGTACCAGAAATTGATACTAGCTGCGTCCAAAACATGAGAAATATGTCCAAAACGTGGGGGGCATGTCCAGAATGTGCAAAGCACGTTGACAACATCAAGAACAAGTCTTAGAACATGGAATTATAATTCTAGAGTCTCATGACTATAAGGACACATCCAAAACCGATATCAACCTATAGGGCCCGCGTCTAAAACTATGGAATATGTCCAAAACTTGGTAAACATTTCGCGAACTTGGAGAATAAGTTTTAGATCGTGAGAGAGAGAGAGAGAGAGAGAGAGAGAGAGAGAGAGAGAGAGAGAGAGAGAGAGAGAGAGAGAGAGAGAGAGAGAGAGAGAGAGAGAAGGCTTTGGATGCCTTGAAGTTCAAATAGTAGAGACATGCGTCAACATACAGTAAATGGCATGGGTAAATTGAGACACAAATAAATGATCCTCACCCATCAAAGAGAGATCTGAAGTTTAATCCATGGAGAATAATCCAAGTACTTCATTATAGTTCTTTGTACTCTCAACAAATAAACAAATTTGAATATAAACGATGTTCACTCGTGGCTAAACTCATTTGACTTCTTATCGTAGATGGAGGCAAGAATTCTCTTCAAACATTTATTGTAGACGAAGGGTCGCTCCATTATAGCAAGGTGGCCTGCTTTCTCAATGCACTCCAATGTGGCTTTATTACCCAATTTTCTGCTTAAAAGAAAGTAATTGAACAAGTCAAACACTGGCAAAGGAATCAAGTGGAGCGAACATGTATCAACAGAGAGTCGAAGATGTAACGTCAGAAACATTACCGTATGGGAAGATATAAAAACATTATTTTAGGACTATGACAGTGTTGGATGGTAGTTGTGACTTAATTCAACCATGTAATCTGTGTGTGTGTGTGTCCATATATATAAAGCAGACTTTTGGATATTAAATGCACCAGAATTCAATGAAATGGGTATATTCTTTTTCAAATGAAAGTTTAAGAGTATTGCCAAGGAAGCGAAAATTAAAGAAAAATAGACTTTTGGACACTAAATGCACTAGATTTAATATATTATTTTTCAAAAAAATATAAACTTTTTGCTACGATAACCAAAATTAAAGGGAAGTATACTTTTTTTTAACACTAAATGCTCTAAATTTAGTGAACGAGTCATTTATTTTTCCAAATAAAGTTTGAAGATTTTCATCAAGAAAGTGAAATTAAAGGAAATCTTTTGTAAATAAATGTGCATAAAAACAATTACGACGCAGAGATAGATCTCTCTGTATATGTATATATAAATAACATTAATTAAGCTACACACAACACAATAGAAAAAATGATTGATAATCTACTTGATGAGGAAAAAGAAAAAGGAAAAAAAGATGGACGTTACTCTTTGATATCCTTCACTACTTCTACACTGAAGATCTTGTCGTCCTCGCCGCAGACTAGATGGACCTTCTGCAAAGATCAATTATCATCAGCATATTTCTTAAATAGGTACAATATCAAAGAATACCACAATATATAGATTAATCAAGAACTGAAAAATAAAAGTAAGGTTGAATTTACATATCAAATGTAGACAGTTTTGATCATTATAAAGGAAGCTGGAGTGACACGATTTGTCCACCCTGTCTCGTGATTGCATGCACCCATGTGTATCGTTTATGCAAGAGTTGGGTTAAACTACTATAGTCACTAAGCGAAATGGAATAGGAATAAGGTTTCAATCTTCTTGCGAGTATTTTCTTCTTCTGTAAATGTTTTATTGTCTCGTCAAATATAGCCGCCATCATATTAGGTCACCCATGTTCACCCCTCTCTCCTGATAAGAAGCGATACCGGCATGTGAGCTCAATGCACGTGAACCATTTCATAACCTCATTGACTTTCATCTGTACAACGTAAGATGCATGCATATGATTACCCTTTTTTGCTTTAAGAAAAGAAAGAGGAAGCTTCTTCAGATTAAATTAAACCTGGGAGTACTCTGGCAGAGTGAAGCCCTTGTCTGGAATGACCAAAGCCTCCAGCAGCTCAGCTCTCTCCTTTCTGTAGTCAAACATGACCTACAATCCAATAAAAAAAACTCATACATATCCAAAATTTATATATAAAAAAAAAGGCAATAAATTCTCACTTTCATCATGATCTGTTAAACATACGTAGCTATTCCACTTCGACTATTTTCTTCAAGTGAAATTTTAAGTCATCAAAACCTAAATAGTTCTCGTTTAGAGTGTAAACCTAAGGCCCATTTATTTTGGCTATTTAAGAAAACAGACACTTCTTTTGACTTTTTCGAAAGGTATTACTTGAACTTTAAGAAATCATAAAAAAAAATGATAATTGATTGATGTGAACACTACTCTCAAAGACTTCTTGAAGCGTTCAGACAAGCAAAAATCTTCTAGGCGGCTCGGAACAAGAATACACGCAAAGCGAATCAGAATGGCCCTTTCGACCAAAAAAAAAATTCAGAACGGCCTTATTGTTTTTTCCTTTAGTTATAGAGAAGTAATTTATGTTACTTCAATGTGCAGTAATTCTTAGGGTTTTGTTATTTTTTTATGTTACTTCAAAATGTTGTAATTCCTAGGATTAAGATTGAGGCTCTATTTATTTCAGATATTCTGTCAGAACACTCCGTTTTTTTGTGTCTCTTCATAAGTATAGAAGATCAAGAGATCTCTCTCCGTGTGCTTTGTGCGTATCCGAATTCACTCACGTTTATCTGTTTTCTCCGCATCACATTCTAAATATCAAAATTTCAACCAAAAAAAAAGACTTCTATAAATATCAATATCTCAAGTGTTATGACAAAGTCAAATGGGAGTTTGCAACATTGAAAAACTAAGTAAAATTGTAAAAAAAATATTAAAATAGGCGGTAAGTGTTGAAAGAAAGGGAGGCGTTCGTGATGGTGCTTAATATGCCGTAAGATGCTGTCGAAGGTGACGGCTCGGCGGCAGTGAGCGCGACAACTGTGGATTAGGTAGAATCTGATAAAGTAGCTAAATATATCTGATTTTAGGTAAATGTGAGGTCAGCGTGTGGTCGAAGATGGATGTGCATGTCATTTTCTTATCGGATGGTCAGAGGGACCATCTGTCGTCAATGGTCCCAAGCCTAACTAGAGCTTTAACGGTCAACGACACCGAATAGGGGGCAACCTGCACGATGTACAGAGTACAACTTTTGGACTTACTTGAAAACTACTCCGTCGTATTAAAGGAAAAAAGCCACGAAAAGACGTGAATTATACTCTATTTTTTGGTCAATACCCCAAATTATGCTTGTTATAACACATTTACCCTAAAAATTTTCTTGTGACATCAAAATCCTCCAAACTATCTTCATTGTAACACATTTATCGTGAATTTTTTTTTATATCAAAAACTCCAAACTATACCTACTATAACACATTTACCATAAACTTTTTCTTGTGACGTAAAAAATCCCAAATATGTACTCACGTGACACATTTACCCTCCGTTAAGGTTTCTTTAGATGATTTTTCAGTCAAAACAAATCGTTTTTATTTCACTTAAGTCACATGACGCGCCATGTCAACACTATTTGTTTTATAGTGTCTATGTAGGCAGATTTTTAACGATTCTCATTCACAGAATATTGATGGAGAGTAAATATGTCACCCAAATACAAGTTTGAGATTTTTGAGTCAAAGAAAAAAGTTTTAAGTAAATGTATTACAATTAGCATAATTTAGGATTTTTGGTGGCTTTTGCCCTTATATTAATATACTTGTCAAAATTCTTCATTAGGTTTTCCTACTAAAATTATGCCGGAGTAAATTGTTCGTGAACATGTACATCTAAGGAATTGACACCTCACCTGCTAATCAAAGTTTAGTGGCACAGCAAAGCCATAGATAAATTAGGATTTGAAGGATTAAAAACTAGCACTCAGGTGCACGCTCTCGCAGGCATAACTGTAGAGAGATCTCTTTATTGTTTTGTGAATATGATGAAAGCTATTTTTTTTTTTTTTGGTCAAGAATATGATGAAAGCTATTTGAAATATCGAAAAAAAAATCAAATAAATACTCTGCTAACCTTATGTGACACCAAAAAACCCGAAAATAATCTTGAGCAGTAAAATATTTTGGAAAATAAGAAAAAAACATCAATTAACGTGGAAAGTAGACATAAAAAAAGAAAAGTGCCCCCGAAACATGCTTAAATGACAAATTTTGAGGCCCAAAGGACTGTAAACTGGCTTTCTGAATTGACCTAGTAACTTTTCTTGCATAAAAAATTATGGCCGTTATCTGGTGTGCTATGTGAACTTTTGTCTCGAGCTTGCCTATTAGATTTATGTTTGGTCATCAGCAACCACGTCCAATTCATTTAGTAGCATTTCTTGTTTCATTGATTATAATCACTCAAAACATATCAAGGAAACGAGCTTATATGAGGTCTTTTATATAATAAATTATATCATTTTTTTAACATGTTTTTGTAACAATTTTTTTGACATGTTAATGTGGTGAAATACTAATCTCTGGAGATATTACACAAAGCTCTTATGAACTTTGAAGGTAGTACATGTTTGCTTCCAAACTTTCAACTATACTTTTATTATGTTACAATCGTTAACTCCTAGTAATTTTTTTTATCGTTATCATGTCCAATGCATATTTCACCTCATCTTTTGTATGAAATCTCCCTTTTACCCTTAGTGTGAAAAATGAAAAAAAAAATATAGAAAATGGAAGAAAACTTAATTAAGAAAAGTACACAATTAGAAAAAAGATAGATACCAATAATAATATTAAACAGTAAAAATTTGTTAATGCACTAAATAAGATATTTTAGGAAAAAGAATTAACACAAATAAAATTTGTTAAACAGTAAAATTTGTTAATCTTCGATAAATATAGCCACTTAAATAAACTGAATAAGATTTTTTAGGAAAAAGGAATAACACAAATGACAAAATTGGCAACTCATTATCTACATTCAAAGGATTAACTAAAGTTAAAAAAAAAAAGGGGCAAAATTCATAAAAATCCTAAACTATATCTTCTGTGGCATATTTTTTTCAATTTTTTTTTGTGATACTAAAAAATAAATAAAATTGCAAAAATATTTAAAAAGGGGGGAAGAATTGAAAGAAAGGATGGCGATCGTGGTGGTGCTAATCTGCTCTAAGATGCTGTCAAAGGTGACAGCTAGGTGGCGGTGAGCGCGACAAGTGTGGATTGACTAGGATTAGGTAGAAGAGAGAAGGGCAATTAGAGTTAGGTGAGTTTGGGCTGTAGTCGAAGATGGATGTACATGTCATTTACTTATTGGAGGGTCAGAGGTAGGGGTGTCAACAAAACCCGGGCTAACCCGGCCCGGACCGCCTCGGCCCGACTCGGCCTTAAAATTTGGGGTATTTTGGGGTCGGGTCTCAATTTGACCCTAAAACTTGTGGTACCATTAGGGTTGGGGTATAATCAGGCCCACCCATTGGCACTCTGGGCCGACCCATTGACTCTCCCTCTCTCAGTCTCTCTCCCATTCTCTCTCCCCTCTTTGTGCGCATAGCACTGCAGGATGAAAAAACCCTAGGTCTGACGTCGTCATCGTTGCCCTCTTCGTCGCCCTCGATCTCCGAATCGTCCTCGTCCTGAAACACCCAGCGGGACTCCATCGAGTCCATGGACCCCATGCCGACCACCGCCTCTCCCCTGTCCGATTCGCCGTCCTCCGCCATACACTGATCAGGTGGGTGAAGAAGTTCGAAACTAAGTACCCTATCGTCGGTCGCGTCGTCTCTATCTCCCTCAGCTTGTGCGGATGTCGATGGCTTCGATTGGATTGCTAGGGCTTGTAGCGCGAGCTTTGCTTGTTTGTTGGGTCTTCAGTAATTTGTTTTCGAATCTAGTGATTTGAGTCGGTGCATCGATAGGGGGTTTTGATGGGATATTGGTTTTTTTTTGGTTTGTGGTGACAGGAGGAGCTGCAGAGGACGAATCTGGAGCACCATCGCATAGTATACATTGTGGAGAAGATATAGGAGAACCAAGAGAAGATTAAGCTCAACAAGCAACTCCCCTACCTGGTCGGCAACATTGTGGAGGTAACTTTTCGGAATTGGTTTGACTGTAAAACGGGTTTGATTGAAGGGCTCTTGTTGTGCTCGTGATTTGGGGACTGTCCCTAACAAATCTCTGTTGAAAATTCGGGGTGTGGCAAGTTACGTCTCGCATGATGTCTTTGTATTTTGGGCTGACTGAGGTCTTTTCTCCGAGAGTTTATAGCTGCAGTGTGTTTTCTTGGCTGATGAGTGATGATAATGTGTTCCTCGTATAATATTCTCGTTGTCTCCCTTCTTGCTTTGAGTTATCCTCTGATTGGAATTTATTGTGCTTAAAGATTCTTGAGATGAACCCTGAGGATGAGGCTGAGGAAGATGGTGCCAATATTGATCTGGACTCGCAAAGGAAGGGCAAGTGTGTCGTCCTGAAGACATTGACACGGCAGGTATGGCTTTTGGGAAGAACACAAAGCCTTGTTGGGTTCACTTGCGGCACCAGTAGTTTTAATGGGGTCGATGATGAACCCTGAATTACCCACCCAAGGTGACGCATGAACAGCAACTCCATGGACATTGCTTTGTCACTTGGTTTATGATGTCTATTGATATTGTATCATGGCCAAGCCTTGTCCATTGTGGTTTGGAACTTCCTTCATTTCATGTATAATGTACTTTTGAACCTGTCCTTCAAAGATAAGAGAAAAAAAAAAAGAAACTGAACTTTTGTACCTGAAGGAGTGCTAACAATTAAATTCAATTTTTCAGTAAGTTGATTGTCTATCTTAGGAAGAAGAGCTGATGAAAGGAAGATTTTCAAGGAGACTTGGACAAAGGCTTTCTTTAGCGGAATCGATTTCTTTTCTTTTCCTTTCCTTTGGGGGTTGGGGGATGAGGGAAATGAGGAATGCTGTTATATTGTATGCTTGATGCAGTTGGTATCCCTTCCTAAAACTAGGATTACGAATAATCATTGAAAAATTGACACAAATTTTTTTCATCTGCCTTTCATGATTTTGCACTCTTATCATATGATCTTGTTATTTAAGCTTTTCAAGGAGATTGCTGAAGCTCTACTATCATTGGAGCAGTTATAAGTTAACTTGTTGTATCCCATTTTACCAGCCCCGTTACTGAAGTTAATTTTTTTGCTGTTATAGAATTCTGTCAGACGGTCTCTTGATGGATATCCTATCTCAGCCATTTTGTGCTTTGAACAGATAGTCAGTGTCCCTAGGCTAATAGATAGAAAATATTTACAGTTTTGTAGAAGATAGATAACCTATTCGTTAAGTGCCGATTAACCTGGATGTTAGAGCTTCACATACTTGCACTTGCTAGATGACGAAATATCTGAATTTTTTATTTCTGAAGGAATGGTTCCTGGAAGGTTGATGTATCTGTTTGTTACTCCGAAGACTATTCTATTTACTTATTGATGCCAATAGTAGATGTTATTATCGAGCTCACTTGAATTGATGTTTTCTTGTAGCCTTTGTGCTGTCCATAGAATGGAACAATGTGTTTTGCATCTCTTTATGCCTCGAGGTAGAGGCCTATTGCTTCTTGCTTGAAATGAGCTCACTGGTAACCTAGCCACGGGGGATTACACTGCAGCGGAAAAAAATTGCTAACAAACTTAGTACAAGAATGTCTCGCTTTTCACTTATTTCGTTTATGCTTTTTAATTCGGAAGCCGGATGGATGAACGCCTTAGAGTTGGTTGCTTGCTTGCGACAAACTTCAAGCATATCAAACTTAGAGAAGGAAGTTATGCGAAGCCCGAAAAAAAAAAAAAAAAAAAAAAAAAACCCCCCAAACCCGACCCGGCCCGACCCGGGCCTTATGGTGTACGCTGAACAGGGTCTGGGGCTGGGTCTGGGCGGGTCAAGCTGGACCCTATTGGTTTCGGGTCGGGTCGGGTATCATGAAAGCCTGACCCGACCCGACCCATCGACACCCCTAGTCAGAGGGACCATCCATCGTTCATGTTCCCAAGCCTAGCTAATGTTTCAACAGTCAAAATCATAGAATCTGGCAACTTACCATGTTCTAAAGAGTACAACCTGAGGGCTTGCTTGAAAACTTTCCCTTCGTATTAAGAAAATATGACACAAATAATTTCGAAATTTTAATTTAATATATAATATAATCCTTAAACTGTAGTTCAATGTATAATGTGATTTCTGAATTTAAATTAATGAAATGACAATATTGAATATTTTTTTATATTTCAGAGATTAAGTTGAATATGTATTAAAAATCCAGAAATCACATTGAACAAAAAAAAATTTCAGAAATTACATTGCACATTAGGCCAATATTTAATGACCATTTGTGTCATAATCCGTATTAATTATACATGTCAAAATCCTTCATTAGGTTTTCTTACTAAGATGATGCCGGAGTAATTATTGGTGAATATGTACATCTAAGGAATTGACACCTCAAGTACAAATCAAAGTTTAGTGGCTCATCAAAGCCGTAGATAAATCAGGATTTGAAGGATTCATAAACTAGCACTGAGGTGCACACGCTCACGGGCATAACTATAGAGAGGGATCTCTTTTTCTGTTTTGTGAATGTGGCGAAAGCTATCTGAAATATCGAAAAGACCAAATAAATATTCTGCTGATCCTATGTGACACGAGAAAACCTGAAAAATATTTTAAGCAGTAAAAGAATTTTAAAAATAAGCAAAAGCCTAAATTAACGAGGAAAATAGACATATAAATATAAAAACTCCCTGAAACAACAGATTTTGAGGCCCAAACAACGGTAAACTAGGTTTCCAAATTGGCCCGGTCACTCTTTTTCGATCAAAAGTTATGGCCGTCATTTATTGCGTTACGTAAACTTTTGTCTGGGGCTTGCCTATTAAATTTATGTTTGTCCGAACACTCCAAAAAGTCATCAGTAACAAAATCCATGTCATTTAGTAGCATTTTTTGTTTCATTGATTATAATCACTCAAAACATATCGAGAAAACGAGCTTATACAAGGTCTTTTATATGAAAGATTATATCATTTTTTAAGCTTTTGACTTGGCCAGATACGACAACTTTGGAGAAATTAACAAAGCTCTTATAAACTTTGGAGGTGGTACATGCTTGCTCTCGAGCCTTCAATTGTTATATAATACCGTTGAATTTCATTTTGTTATAATCGTTAACCCTCAGTTATATTTTTTCATTATCATGTTCAATGCACATGACTTTTAAGAGATAAAAGTATATTTCATCTCATCTTTTGTACCAATCTCTATTTTACCCTTAATTAGTGTAAAAAATGAAAATATAGAAAATGGAAGAAAACTTAATTAACCAAAATACACATAATAGAAAAAAAAATACCAATAATAACACTAAACAATATAAATTTGTTATCATTCGATAAACATAATCACTTAAATAAACTAAATAAAATATTTTAAGAAAAGGAATAAACACAAATGACAAAAATTGACGACTCATTATGTATGAAAGCAAGAATATTCAATTGAGTGCGTGGTATGGAACAAATGAGTTTCAAGGTATGAAAGCAAGAATATTCAAATGACAAAAGTATCTTGATAAATCACTCAATCTTTAAATTTTAAAAAGATTAGCATATCTTTCGGATTTCTCTTTATAGTATGAAAGCAAGAAAATTCAATCGAGTGCGTGCTATGGAACCAATGAGTTTCGAGGTGTTTCTGTGTCTTAGTTACGTAGAAGAGTTTATGGAGCTCATACCTCTAAAAAGTCTTTGAAAACACGATTAGGGATCCTAGGCAACTTGTGGCTCCCAACTTCAAACATCTTCTTCACACCATCTACAGAATTAGGCATCAAAACCTCCGGCCATGTCGGAAACCCCAACTTCTCCAAGCTCTCCTTGCTTATCGACTCGGTCAGCGCCGGCACGGTGCACGTCGCCACCACCGACTCCACCAGGTCGGGCCGCGACTCGGCCAACTTGAACGCCACCATCCCGCCGTAGCTGAACCCCACCAGCGTGCACCGCCGCAACCCGAGCGCCGCCAGCCCCTTCGCCACGCAGTCCGCCTGGAAGTCCACCGTCCGGCGGCTGTCGCCGGTGGCAGAGCCGCCGAAGAAGAGGAGGTCCGGCACGTAGACGGCATACTTCCTCGCGAGCGCGAGCACCTGGAACTGCCACGTCATCATGCCGTCGCCGACGAAGCCGTGGAGGAAGACGACAGCGTTCTTGTTCTTGTTGTTGTTTTGGGGTCGGGTTGGAGCCCAGAAGTTCATGACAGTTCCGGGTTCGATCTCGATCTTTCGAGGTCTCACGCCGGCGAGCTTCATCGCCGCTCGCAACAAGGGCTGGTAGAGCTTGATTGTGTTCACCATTCTCTCTCTCTCTGTCTCTCTCTCTTTCAATATTTGTTCTTGTCTGTACAGCTAAAAGTGATGAGGGTGCCTCCGAATCTGTCTCTTTTTATCGAACAAAATTGCAGAAAGTCAAAGTTGCCAATATGCTAAAACCAATGACATTGGAATGGGAGTCTAGTTGTTCGCTGCTTTTCCACATTTCCATCATGTGGAGGAATAATCACCTATCAATTTTATTTCTGCACGTCTTTACTTTATTAGGGTTAAACTCAAAGTCAAATTCCCCCAGCACTTAGAGAAATCGCACACGGATCTCATGCTATTTTATTTTTTATTGCTTTGCTTCAATTGATCTTTTATTAGAATGCTGCCGCTGTTACTCTCAACTTAATTCTCCTTTTCCATTTCTTGCTGTATAATGACAGTCCTTGTCTGTTGTTGACCTGTCACAACAACCCCATCTGGAAATTGATTTCTTTAATTATTTCTCTGTAAGTTTAGTTGGATTTTAATAAACATATCCGCTTTTAAGTTTGTGTCGGAGATGTGGACTTTTAGATAGATGATCAGTCAGATCACTAAACGTCAGTAATGGATTAGTTACTTTTCGGATTAATACCATAAAAACCCATAATTATTTAATTTTTTTTGTATCACAGAAAATCATAAATTATATTCACTATGATAATAATGTCTCAATTGGTTTTTGTATTTCTGAACTCCTAAATTTTGCCCACTATAATATTAATATCCAAATATTTTCTTATATCCTCATAAATCCTAATACCAGTGTGACAAAAATATCCTTTAAATCATCTTATGATGTCAAATTTATGCCTTTGTTTTCTTGCCATTGTCCAGCAAATCACCACGTTAGATATTTAATGGGTGTCTTTTATGGAGCTATGATGAAAGGTTTGTTTTTTGTCACTGGTACACGTTTGGAGGTACTGAACGGATATCTCATCTTAATTTTGTTGACATCATAGTGCCCTTTTGGGAAAAAAATATTTTAAGAGGGCAAAAAAATTTGACATTTTGGCACGGACAATTGGCATCGAACAGCAGAATAAAGATTGGTACATTGGAAGCGGTTGACAAACTGTTACTACAAGTTAATATCAACCGTGTCCAAAACATGAGGAGCGAGTCCAAATTGTGGGGGATACAACTAAAATGTGGAGAATACGTCCAAAACACGGAGAACAAGTCTTAAAACATGGAATTGAGATCCTAGAGACTCATGACTAAAGGGACAAGTCCAAAACCGACACTAGCATGTGGAGCCCGCATACAAAACTTGAGAAGTACGTCCAAAACTTGGGGAGCATGTCCAGGATATAGAGAACAAGTTTTGCAATGTGAAAGTGAAATCTTAGAGGCTCATGATTATAAATAGAATGCTTTAAAAGTGAGATCTTAGAGGCTCAGGATTCTAATTGTTTTGAGCTTGTGCTGTCGGATTATAAGTCCGAGCCACCTATAAGCTTCATTTGTGATCCTCTCTAAGCTTTAATACCAGACAAATGTTCTTCGAATTTGCCAAACTCGGCCTTTATTGGAGAGAATTCCTCGAGGGCTAGCATCTATTTGGTGACTTTACGGGGATACAGAATGATACCAAGTATTTTGTTGTAGTTTTCTGGACTGTCAACAAGTAATTAATTTTGCATATAAAGATGGGTCGCTCGGAGCGAAACCCATGTGACTCTTACTGTAGTGGAGGCAAGATTCCTCTTCAAACATTTATTGCGCGGGAAGGGTCGCTCCAACCAAGCAAGATGGCCTGCTTTCTCAATGCACTCCAATGTTGCTTTATTTCCCAACTTTCTGCTGAAAAAAGTTAGGAAAAAAGCCACAAAAAAATCTAAATTGTGCCTACCGTGATACATTTACTTTAACATTTTTCTTGTGACATAAAAAATCACAAATTTATATTTATGTGACACATTTACCCTCTGTTAAGGTTCCGTTAGATGATTTTTCAGCTCTCTAGCGTAAATATAGGTAGATTTTTAATGGTTTTCATTTATAGAATTTTGATAAAGTGTAAATGTGTCACGTAGGTACAAGTTTAAGATTTTTTGTATTTTAGAAAAAAAATTTAAAATAAATATATCATAATAAACATAGTTTAGTATTTTTTTTTGTGGCTTTTGCCCAAAAAAATTATTGGATAAGTCCAATTCAGGCTAGAAAGTAAAAGTTCGCAGAACAAAAACGTGAAAGCAACCAAAACCAATAAACATTTTTGACCAAGTGTAGGTGATTGGATTAGGACATCCCGATTGTCGCTTTCAGCTTAATCCTCGTTATAATATTTCTGGCTGTCTAGAGGTCATCCCTTGTCTGCGGTTGGTATATGACAGCTCCGCATGGAAATTCATTTCTTTCATCATTTTCTGTATGTACACTACTACATTAAATGAACTTTGATAAGACAATTTTTCTGTTGGTTTATGTCGGAGACGTGGACCTTCAGACGGGTAGCCAGCAAACCATTCATTTGTGTAGGATTGTAAACGGTTCGGTTTCAGTTCGATTTTTCAAGAAAATCGAACCGAACCGAACCGTTAAGGAAGTACCCCTGAACCGAACCGAAATTCGATCGAACCGAATTGAAACCGAACCGAAAAACTAATTTGGTTCGGTTCGGTTCGGTTCAGTTTTCGGTTTCTTCTTCTTTTTCTTTTTTCTTTTGCTTTTTATTCATGGCTTGATTTTCTGTTTTTTCTTCTTCTTTTTTGCTTTTTATTCCTATAAAAATATTTTAGTCATTTACGTGATTCAACTATTTATAATTTTGATTACATATTGCTGAATCGCCATTTCGAATAAGATGAAAGTTAAATAATTCTTTTTAATATTTAACGACATTTATTTCCTAGATTTGAATCTTTAATGTCAAAATGTGAACATATTCATGATATTCTACGTAAGAGAATCATCGATCTTACAAATTAAAATAAGTTGAGTGATTGTAAATATATTACAAATTAAAAACTCATTATTTAAAATTGAAAAATGAAAAAACAAAATCACATATCTAAACTAGGTTCCGACCAAAAAAGAAAAGTACAGCAGCGAATAGAACTTTCTTAAGATTCTGGGTCCTTGACCACCAAATTGAACTCCTCATTCCATTCAGGATTTAGATTGCTATGTTTGACTGTTGTCTTCTTTGTGGATAACTTGTCTTCAGTAAGCTTTAGCTTCACATAAGGGTCTGACTTGCCCATAACGTCCTTCTTTTTAAGCTTTATTCCCCTCACGACCTTTACATTAAGAATCTCAACCGGTTTCTTTGCAGCTCTGCAGGAGTAAGCAAAAATCCATGTAGTTGGACCAGTCATAGAATTACCACCTTTATATTCATTAACTTGGCAGCACAAATTGAAGGAAGTAACAATTTGTAAAGAGGAAAACTTACTTAGAAGGATCCAAAATAGGTACTTCTAGGTACTTAGGCCAGAGGTACATATTTGCAACTTGATCCTTGATAAGTTCCTAAACACTAGCATAAATATAATACTAAGAAGTCTTATTACAATGTAATAGTTGGTAGTATTTTCCCAAACTATTTTACATCAGCAGTTTACATGGTTATTGCCAACAATTGGTGAAGTTGGAGAATGGAGAAATCTGTTCATTGAATAACTAGACAGCAAACAGGATTGGGGTCATCTTATTATGTTAGAACCAAATAGTTCTTGTAAATGCAGCTCCTCTAAACAAAAAGAAGTCTACCCTGGAAATTATTAAACACACCGTCTCCATTAAAGAGACAAATATCTTGGCAAAACAAGGAAAGGTTGGAACCAGAGGCTTCAGAGTGATGCACGGAGAAGCGAACACTTGCAAATCAACCACCTAAAATGCACCAAAATTGAGAGAGAGAGAGAGAGAGAGAGAGAGAGAGAGAGATGTCGCGACCTAAAATTTCTCAGGCTAATGGATTATTAAGACTAAGCCTAACTCGGGCCCTCCCAAGCCCTACCAATTCGCAGTTTAGAGTTTAAGTTTTTAACATGCAAAAGTTTTCATGCTTGGAATCGCCACTAATCTATTTGTGGTAGGTCGATTAGAAACCTAAATAAAACATAGGGAGATATGTTTTATTCCTACGAACCAGAGATTCTAAGTTCAGGGACTTGGTTACGCTAGATCTAGTCTAACGCCCTTTCGGTACCTTTTCTTTTCAAAAAATGTTTATGCATGCAGTCTGGATCCATTTTAACTTAGTCACTAGCATGTGAGGTGATCATGCGGGTGCGCAAACCACCAAAGTAACACCCAATAATCAAAACATTAAATAAATTGCAAGATCGGGAGAATTACTTACCTCGAAGCAACGTAAGCATCTGCATTGTTAGCTAGAAGATCACATCAACAATCCTAATATGATTTCTAATTAACAAGCAGTTCACTCAATATTTTTTAGGATTTTCACATATTTAAATGAAAGCTAACCTATATGTAATGACATGCAAAAATTAACATGCGATTAATGCAGCCTAACATGCAAACTATATGTCATGCGACAACGTGACCTAATTCTAATGACGGACAAATGATTTATTTTTGAATGAATTTCGGAATTAAAAAAAATGCCTAAATTAACATGCAATCTATTCTAAAAAATAATTTAATCTATCCTAAAGTGACTTCTTTTGGTATTTTTATGAAAATTCGAAATCAAGAATTACCCTAAAATGAACCATCGAGATCAGGATAATATCTAAATTAAACTAGGAAATAAATTACTCTAATTCCTAATTTAAATTAAAAAGTTATCCTATCGACTTATTCAAAGAAAGTTATTCTAAACCTATCCTAAACATGCATCATTATCTTCTAATAAGATCAATTCAAATCGTAACTAATCTTTTTTTGGAATTTTCTTTATTTAAAAGGAAAGCAAACCACATTCAAACAATCCACGCAATCCGCAAGATTCTTCAAATTCAGACAAGGCAAAGAAATCAAACTAACGGTCATATCTATAGGGTTATAGATATCGACAGAAAGTTGATTATTTAAATTTGGAAAGCAAATTAAATCTATTATCGTATCCAAGTGATTATGGATAAGATAATGATTTTCCATATCACCGCGTATCGTACCTTATGGATAAGGTCGGATAATCGTCCAGATACGTTGCTAAATTAGGAAATTATCCTAATTTGGGGTGTTTTGAAATATCACGGATGCATGCATCATCCTAAAATATCTAACAATCCACAAAAATCACGCAATATTTAAACACGTAAAATTAGGAATCCAAATATTTTAAAAAAAATTTAGATAAGAACCTTACCTAATTTCACGGATTACTTTCCAAGTTTGAATCGTCTCGGGATCGCGGATCAGGACGGTGGCTGACGGTTTCGCGACTGGGGCTCGATGGTGTGGTCGTGGGCTCCTCGGTGTGATTTGCGCGGCCAAGGCTGGCGGTGTACTTGGTATGGTGGAAAGACTGGAACAGAATCGGTCGCGGTGGAACGTTGCTCCGAGTTCCCCGCGGGAGGCTGCTGCGTTTGTGATCGAAGCTTGCTGGTCGCAACAAGATTACTCCGAGAAACTTGTTATTCGTGAACTGGAAAATCACGTAGTAGGCGGAAGTCTGGGGACTCCTTGAAGAACTCGAACCCCCTTTGAAATTCTCTATTCACCAATCAAGCTCTCTTTTACTTTGACCATGCAAACCACCTCCTTGGCTCACGATTTTCTCTTATCAATTATACACCTCTCTTGGCTGGATGCTTTTCCTTTGACCACCGAATGACTCTAAGCTGGGTTGGACTTACTGGGAGTGATTCAAAACCATTCAAAACAGGGCACGACGAGGCCTCGTTGAAGGAGACGCTGGAGCCGGTTTGCTGGACGTTCGCTGGGTTTCTGAGACTTTGCCTGGACTGTCGCTGGGACTCCGAATGTGCGGCTTTGTCGTCTTGGTGCAGGAAGATTGCTGGTGCTGTGGCTTTGCTTGAGGGACACTGATATTGGAAGAATGACGTCTGGGAAGCTGCTGGAGTTGACAAGTGGCTGCTTTGACGAGGCTGGGATTGAGCTGTTCCTCCGGGACTACAGGACTAGCAAAATTAGTGGTGCTGTTGTGCGCTCGGAACAGCAGCAACAGCGGGCTGGCGACAGCAGCGGCAGGAGTTGCGGATGTCAGGGAGAAGCGACAACCAGCCCGGCGTTGGAATGGGCGACACAGGCACGGCAGTGTTGACTTCGGGGCAGCAGTGACTCACGGCCACAGGTCTGGCCGTGAGCGTGCGCAACGTTGGTGGAGGCCCGGCGGTGAGGCCACACGGATGCGGCGGCGGGACAAGTCCACCCGTGATCCTCTCTCTCGCTCTCGTGTTTTCTCTCTGTGTTTCTTGTGTCTGATCCGATCCAAAAAAAAAAGGTCCCCTCCCCTTCTTCTGTGTAAAATACCTCAATTTATAATCTCTGCTTACCGACTCCTTGCTGGATATTGTCCTTCAATCAAATATTCTCATTGATATTAACCGATTCTTCCCTAGTCCACTTTCCTCAAGATCCACCGCTTCTTTATTCTTTTCCTTTTGTTTCTTTCGATATTTCCTCTCTGTTGGCCGAAGTGTATACACCAATATATGCTCATGATCAAAATAATATTCCCATCTCTCGCACACAAGCTTGGTGATTGCTCAAACTTCCAAAGTTTTGGTAACTTAGTAGCTTAGTTGATTTTTCTAAATTGAGCACTCCACGTGTATTTTACACGTGTAATTTGGCCAACATGTGCGAAGCGCGAGGCAATTTTCAGCCATGGGCTTGGTTCAATCAATTCAATTAAGCTCGGAACCATTCGCTCGAGTCCATCTGCCGTCGGTCCGATAGATATGCGAACTATATGGGCCTAATTAACTATTAAAGAAATGCTCCTAATATCTATATGCAATGCCATCTAATTATATTTTTTGTTTAGGGGTTAAAAAATTAATCCCTAATTTTCTATGCAATTGTTCCTAAATGACTAGTTAAAATTTAGGTGTCAACAAGAGAATAAGGGTGAGCGATAGGGACAGAATAAACTAGCTATTCATCGATACCTGAACAGTAACCCTCAACCCGAATGCCTTAGCACTGCTAAGTTAGCAGCAACAATGATGTTAGGATTCCCTGCCCACTTCATCGACAGCTCCATTATTAACTCCTTCTCATCAGTAAGATAGACTTTCATTCCTGGTGAACAGAGTAAGATAGCATTAAAGATATGCCATTTGAGAAGATGAATGACAACTACACAGGAAAATGTTATCATTCAGCCCATAGTTCACCATGTAGTGCTAGGTAAATAAAGAAGCTGTCAACAAGAAACTGGACTGAGTGAAGCAGCTTCTCCCAAACATTCTGGCTGGTTCTTAAGATCCGCATTAATGTGCCAATTCTGACCCCAATTCCTACCCATTGGAAGCCATCCAGTTTTTGTGCCTTTAATTTTTATTGCAGCTATATCTCCAGCACCAGCCACATTGATGATCAAGACTGAGATGAAGATACCCAAGCCATCAATTGTAAAACGAATCCCTCCCTCCTTTCTGCATTTGATCCTGCATAGTGACAGAGAAGAGCTACAAAATCATATAATGGACTAGCTACAAAAAAGAAAACAGAATCTCCAGTACTCACTTGCTTTCTTTACACATCAAGGAGATGACTACTTCTCTTTTGTTCATCAATCATCAAGGGAAACCAATATCGAGTTCAGCTCCACGGTCACAGTTGACAACTCTACATTAAATTCACAATAAAAATGAAAATTAAAGTATCTATTGCAATAGTAAATGATATAAAATATTTCACGATAATTTTTTCTCACTTGACTCAAAATTTTCGAGTTCTTCTAAGTCCTCCTCAATCGAAAGTGAAAGTGGTGCGGATCGTAGCCAATCTTGAGCACATATAAGAGCCTCCACTATGCTTGGGGTCAAGGAGCTACGAAACACGTCAAGTACACGACCTCCTGTGTTGAATGCAGCCTCTGATGCTATAATTGAGACGGGCACCGCCAAAATATCTCGAGCAATGGAAGAGAGGATAGGATATCTTGAAGAATTGACTTTCCACCAATTTAAGATATCAAAGTCGGCGCTATAGCGTTCACATCTTTCTTCCAAATACTTATCTAATTCGGATTTTTCTTCCAAATATTCTTGTCCCGTTTGGCTAAGATACATTGTAGTCATAATGTCCGCACCAACCACAGGAGACATTGACACGTTCATTGTCCTTGTACCCTTTGACCTCAAATTACTTTGGGGGCATATACCGGTGCGGTATTGCTCGAACAATGACGTTAGAGATGATGTTACATTATCTCGTAAAATTTCCGTTCGCTTGCTTTCATAAACTTGATTAATCATCCATTTCACATACTCCCACTTATGTCGAGGGTCAAGTATGCATGCAATGAACCATGTTAGATTGATGTTGTTCGCATTGCCAAACTACCTAGTGAATTTGGTCTTCATTCTCTTGGCCATTTCCTGCAAACTCCTATCCTCATTCACACAATATCTATCAATCATCATAAAAATCTCATAGACATCTTTCGCCATATCATTACTAGTGACATAAGAACAACTCGATACTTTTAAAGTCGTATCGTAGAACAACTTCAAGAAAGGAAGAAATTGACGAGCATATTCCCAATCATCACTAGTAGACAACCCCCTCACCTTGGAAAGCTCTTCAACAAATTTGCTATCCCGAATATCTAGTTAGATAAAAGCCTTCTAAAACTTTAAAGCCGCTTCCAACATCAGGTACATTGAGTTCCAACAAGTCTCCACATCCAAACATACAAGACTTTTGGACTCGATATTTTCTAGCTCAATGCACTCCTTAAACCGTTGTAACCTCGCAGGAAAAGACCTCACATAACGTACAACTGAGCGTATTCTAACAATGGAATCATCTATATCTTTCAAACCCTCTCTCACAATCAAACTCAATATGTGAGCACAACATCTCACATGGAGTAACTCACCTGACAAAATTAGAGTGTTCCAAGAGTGGAGTCTTTTTTTTAAGTATTGAACTCCCAAGTCATTTGAGCTCGCATTATCCACGGTGATAGAAAAAACGCTTTTAATCCCCCAACCAGTCAAGCATTTTTCCACCGCTTTTCCTATAATCTCAGCAGAATGTCCCGAAATTTGACAAAAATTCAAGATTTTCTTTTGCAACTTCCAATCACCATCTACAAAATGAGCAATGAGACACATGTAACTCATATTTTGACAAGAAGTCCACGTGTCCGTTGTGAGACAAACCCTTGGAGATGTATCGAAATTTTTTTTTTTCAATTTGCATCTTTCCTCCAAGCATAACTTATAACAATCCTCCCTCAATGTGTTTCTTGAGGGGATTGAAACTTCGGCTGGATCCTACTCACGAATTGCCGAAACGCCTCATTTTCCACAAACTTAAAGGGTAATTCACCAATGATCAACATCGCTGCTAGGTCTTTTCGACTAGTTTCTTGGTCAAATTTCCATGGACCAAATGACCTAAAACTACCAACCCCAACAAGTTGACCCGAGACACTTTTTTGCCTTTTCTCAACGTACGCATATGGAAATTCCTTACATCTACCTAAATGATTACGCATCGCACTAGTCCCTTGAGAGGTAGAACAACCAATAATAGCCCCGCAATATAAACATTCAGCTTCGTCTGGATTTTCTGTCCTTTTATAGTGTTCCCAAGCAGTAGATCTCGTCCTCCTTTTATTTGTGCCACTAGATTCACTCATTGAAGTAGACATCTACCAATCTATGACAATTAAAACCTGAAATTATTATAATTCAAGTGGCTGTGTCAAGTTAACAAACTTTGTATCACAAGCAAATACTTAATCCAAATAAAAGCATAATAGAAGGGGTAGCCATTAAAGCACCAGGACAGAAGTTACTAAATAGTTATGATAAATGAACGCAAAGAAAACTAGTTCAACAGAACAAACAAACACAAGGATAGAGTCATGATGAGAAAAGAGAAATACCAAACGAACAGGATGAATTATGAAAGTGACGGAATTACGTGCAAAAACACAGGTTTGATATGCTTCTTAATTTACAATTGGCTGAGATCACTTCACATATTACGGTTTATATCATCCATCATCAAGAGGCATCATCACCAGACCTTATTATCATTAACAAGCCAATCATATTCCTTGCCACCATCCTCTTAATATGGAATCTGTTAACTGTAGCACATGTGAATTGAAAAATGTATGTTCTCCCTACAAAAGAAGAATCTTGTCACCTATATGATACTAATTCCATCCTACATAAAGAGCATGTAGATAAACCAAAAATGACGATTGACCAGCTGTTCAACTAGTCAGACACGCTTCTATCACCAAAAGGGAGAGAGGAAAACTGTCAACAAAGCCAGATATAAGGACTTGAAAAGAGAATAAAAGAGAACTCCATATTCAAATATACGAAAAACTCTGACCAAAAAATAATTCATGTAAACCTCCTCGAGGAAGGACTTGAAATTCATAGGATCTTACTTGAGTCGATGTCAATTCCCAAAATGCTCCGGCAACAAAACTTTTTTGCTGAAGACAGAAAAAGATTATGTTATAACAAGTGCAAAAATTAGATCCATAACTCAGAGATCATACAATGTAGACAAATATGACCACTTGTAAACAGCATCAAGCAAAAAACCACGGGTGGTGGCAACAAGTGCACGCAAAATACTGAATTCCGCTTCCCCCCAAACTACCAGGCTATGTAGGACCAGTTAAAAGAAATAAACGAAGAAAGAGAAGAGAAATTATCATAACCTAAACTGCAGAAGAAGTCTCAAGATATTAGTGAGGTAAATGATCAATGCATAAAAATGCCAATTTGCTCATTCTTAGTCATATTCGCAGTTCTTTTGTTAAAGTCACTTTACCAGTGGATTTTCCCACCGTCCTAAAGAAGAACATCTAAGCTCCTGAACGGAAAGACTGGCCAAGGAACCTTGCTCTATTGGTTGCTTTTAGATGCAATTTCTCCCTACCACAACCAAAACAAGTAATAAATCTTATAGTTCCGATATGATATCATCGAGCACTTGCAAGTGTGCTGCAGTTGGTAAGCATTAGAAAGTTCTCCAAGAAAATAACATGTAATTTCTAAGACAAACCACAGTCTTCACAGAACAAGTATTGGAAGGATTGAAGGGGGATATCAAATACTAAACGGAGTTATCTCCCTTCAAAAATTACGCAAGATATTTTTGAGGGACTAGAGACCTAGTATCTGCTAACAAGAACAAGTCCAGACAGCACATATGGCCCCCAAGCAAACTCACTTAGCCTACAGAATCCACCATTCACTAGAACACTTGGAAACGGCTCTCAGTTGTACTCCGCCCTCTCGACGACAAGTACAACGCAGATCCTAAAAACCCACGAACAAAGCAAGAAAACCCAAAAAAAAAAAAAAACAAAGCCGACCCGCGAGAGGTTTCGGGAGTTTTCAGACAAAAACCCACGAACAAACCAGCAATGTTGACTCCGAAATAGCAAAACCGACGTCCTCACCCCATCGCTGCCGCTTGCGAGGAAACAAGATCATCAAAAACGAAGCATACCGCTCAAACCCAGGGCACGGACTACCGAAGCATACCGATTGCGAAGATCGGCGAGAAGACGATCGGTGAATGGACTCCTTGGTCTCTTGGTTTGAGCCTATTCCTATCGCCCTTTTTCCGGCTAATGGACTCCTCCTCCGCCTCCCTTTTTCCGGCGAGAAGATGATTGGCGAGAAGACGATCGGCTCAAACCCAGGGCTCGGTCGTGCAGACCGACGGAGGAAAACGCCCGGCTCGGGCCCGTGGTCCCGGCGGGAGCTGCAGCCGGCGGAGGCTACGGCGGCGGTGGCGGCGGGCCGGAGGGGGAAGTCGTGAATTTCGGAGGCGGAGCGGCGAGGAGGAGAGGGAGAGAGGGAGATGCGAGCGCGAGAGAGGGCGACTGAGTGGGCGAGATAGGGCGTTTTAGTTTTTAGGGCTAAAACCGAAGTTTATTTCAGTTCGGTTTGATCCGAACTGAACTGAAATAAACCGAATTGAAAAAAAAAATTGGTTAATTTTGATTATCCGAACCGAAATCGAAATCGAACCGAAATGCATGAAATTTTCGGTTCGGTTCGGTTCGTATCTCGGTTCGGTTCTGACAGCCCTACATTTGCACATGGAGCAAACCCACCCCTCGTGCTGCATACCCGCCGCCGTCTACGGCGTACGCTGCGCCAACTTTCGTCCCCGATGTCTCGCCATCTTCGTTAGTACGCGTATTTGCCCGTGCGTCCGTTTTCTTAATAAAAAAAATGACTTGCCTTTATCGTCAATTTCTCGAGCTTACGGATAAATGTGCGCTTTCTGTAAGGAACCCATTATATCACAAGATTTATGCAGGATACAAACATATGCTCATTGGCCTAATTCACTGAATATGCTCCAATTTTATGTTCGATCCTAATTATGTCTTGAAAGTTTTTTTTATCTAAAATAAAATCACTAACTTTCATGCAAGTTCTAAATTTATCCCCTGTGAACCCTCCGTTCAAAAGTCACAGTTAATCGTTCAACATGGCACTTACATGTCAGCAGTAAATCCACATTAGCAAACTGAAGTGGATTTAAAAATTATTACTGTCATCATGTTACTGGTCGTAGAAAAATAAGGTTTTGTCTACAAAAACCCTCAAGAATTTATTAAGATTCAAAACAATTAAATAAAAGTTTTCTGGGAAAAGGACACAGATAGTACTGTAACGTTCACATTGGTGCCATAACTTTTCAATGAGAAGTTTTATGTGGAAAATGACTCTCTCTCTCTCTCTCTCTCTCCAACTCCTCCGTCGAAAACGGCTAAAACTTACATTTAAAAAGGAGAGAAAAGCAAATTTTTAATCTTAACTAGGGAAGCTACTATGCAATTCGACGGCAGTGGCAAAGACATTCCAATCCCTAATGTTGATGGCCATCGTGTCTTAGATTGAAGTCAACACGGAATCCATGATTCGATCCCGACTGTCGATCTCCCCAACCACCACAAATCACGACCTCCTGGGACAACATGGTGGGCCTCAAGGACAAGCGTAGCGCCTCCTCCAGTGCCCTCTCTCCAAGGGTGTCCTTTGGGATAAGGACTCGGCCCGATGGTCTCCAATTTATCTCACGGCGGGGAGGTGTCGATTGACAACAACTACCTCTTCTTGCCGAACATCCAGACCTGCAATTTTTTTATTTGATAGGGTTAAAGTTTCTGATTAAACCTAATTTAGCCTTAATTCGTCAGGAAATGGCTAAACAATGTCGTTTTTGTAAGAGTTTTTCTAATGTTAGCTAAATTTATTAATATTGAAATCTAAAGTTTTACAGGGTTGGTTTAATAAGGAGAGATGTAAAGATTCTTAATCAGTTTAATATAGAGTTGGCTTGTGTGGCCCGAGTAGAGTCTGACCTGTGATGAAAGAGTCTGTGGCTGATAACTCTATAAATAGTGCTCAAGTCTCTCCTTAAATCATGATACACAAATTACCTCACATAAAGAACAGTTACCAAACACTAGTCGTAAGGGACAGTCTTATTGAGCCAATGATACATAGGGTACAAAGGAGAAGCACTTGAGCCTGCTCCGTTCGTTTGGTGGAAAATATGACATTTCTGGAAAATGTTTTCCAGGAAGTCATTTTCCTGGAAAATGGCATAATTTTCCTGTATTCGGCTGAAATTTGAAAAAGTCTCAAAAAATATTTTCCATTGTTCGGTATGGAAAAGATTTTCCTCTTGGCAATACTTTTAATATTGTTTAAATATATTTTAATTTTCTTTTTCTTCTTTTTCCTTCTTCTTCTTCTTCTCCTGCAGGTCAATGGCCACGGTCGTAGCCGACGACCAGCCTGTGGCGAGGTCGATCGGGCGAGCTCGGGCCTCGCCGAATCAGGCGAGGCTCGACCTCGCCTAAATCTGGCTAGTATGAGCCTCGCCGGCCTATGGCAAGGCTCGAGTTCACCTATGGCCAGTTGCCGGCCGGAGAAGAAGATAGAAAAGAGAAAGAAGAAGAAAATAGAAAAAGAAAAAAAAAAAAGATAATGAATGAAGCAAGAAGGTGGGGGAAAACATTTTCCTTACTTTTGTTCATGTTTTCACTCATTGAGGGAAAATGTTTTCCGCGGGTAGTTTATTTTCCACCCCCGAACACCGAAAAACCTGAAAAATTTTCCGCGAAATAAACGGAGCCTAAAAGTGTCACTCTTCCGCATCACAAACAATGGATTCCAAATTAGGTGTACAAATCCTTTTCTCGATTACTATGTTGTAACTTTCTGACTATGGATCTTGGGGTGCCGTTTTTGCATCTTACATGTGGTATTAGAGCCGCGATAGTTTAGGGTTAGAACCTTTGGATTTGGCCTATTTTCAGAATTTTTATCCAAAGGGACGCCTCATACGCCCCCATGTACGAACACGCGCCGCTGTGGCATTGGTGTGTGTCGGCCATGCACAACCATTGCCTAGCGCATTGCACGGGCTAGGGTTGACATCAGTGATCCACTAACACAGGTTGACCCGATTGACGATCGGTTCAGGGAATCCGACCCATTACTGTTGACCGAACGGGTCAAACAGGTCGAACCGGCAATCCAGGTTGTATAAAGCACACCAAGCGTGCGCTATACGTGCCGCGCATTCAAGCGGCACGTGAGGGTTCCTTTTGGAGCATGCTTGGTGCTTGCGTTCTTGTATCTTGATGCTCTACAATATGCTATATTCAGTTCACATGTTTGATACTTTAAATGATGTGAAAATAAGTACACAACCCTACATACGTGTATTTTTTAGGTATTTTTGGCATTTTTTTGTACTTCTATATGGTTTGAAAATACAGATGCTAGCCCACATGTATGTCATAACATATAGAATGTGTAGAGCGTGATTTATTGATAGCATGTATAAGGTTTACATGTATCAATAGATGGAAAAATGTAATTGGCATGGCATGTGATTTTAGTGATAAATTACCCTTGCCTTCAAGTCTAAAATTACATGTTTATGGTAAATGTGAGACATAAATTTTATATCTTGAAGGATTCAATTGGGTTGTGATTGCCAAAGTAGCACACTTAATTGGGTTTGAGAAATATCGGTCTCATATTGTGGTGGGATGTCTCATATTCTACTATAAGGTTATACTCCCAAAGAAGGTGATTTTGTATTGGTTCATGGAGAGACACTTGTACAGCATATAATTAAAGAGTGAGTGATCCTAGTGGTTTATCATCCAAGGGTGGTGAATTCACGAAAGTTGGAATATATTCTCATGGCCGTTGTCATGTGGAGCGTATACAATTGCATGTCATGTATTTGTCTAAAGGTGATTATATGATGATGTATGTAACTGACGGTTTCAAGTTACACAATACTCACATGATTCTAATTATATATATATTGCTTGTTTTTCAATCACCTTCTTTGCAAATCGCAACTCCATTGTGATTAAGGTTGGTTCAAACTTTAAGAAATTGAAAAATGATTTTCTGTTTGGGATGGAGCTTACGGATGTTCATATTGCTCTTACTAAGGATAAGTCAACAGATCTCATTGACACCGGTACGGAAGCCCAGAAAGCACACTTTGCTGCCTTGGAAAAGAGCAATAGGATTTGCTTATTATCTATGAAGTAATCCATTTGTGAACACTTCAAGAGTGGCTTGCTAGCTTATTGCAATGCTAAACAGACGATGGATGCCTTGGATGGTAAGAACCGTGTCTCGTCTAATGCTAAGATTGGGACACATTTGCAAGGACTCTTCAATATGAAATATGATGGTTCAATGGGTTTAGGAATTACATCCTTAGGATGGTAGACCTGCAAACAAAACTTCAGGCCATTCAAGTTACTATTCCAAATACTTGCATAGTGCATCAAGCCCTAAACGCCCTTTCACCTGATTTTGAGATAATCAAGATCAATTATAACTCCCAAGATGAGACATGGTCAATTAGCAACTTGATAGCTAGGGTGGTAACATAGGAAGAGAAACTGAAGAAAGAAAGAGGCCACCTTGCCCTGTATGCCTCTAGTTCCAACGATAAGAAGAGTAAAAGGTCCAAAATTCATACTCATAAAAAACCTCACAAAACCTCCGGTCATTCTGACAGTCTAGGTCCCAAGAAAGCTTCTTTCAAGAAGGATGGTAAGCAATGCTTCTTTTGTAAGAAGAAAGGTAATATAAAGAAAGACTGCAACAAATATAAAACCTGGTTGTCCAAACGTGAGCATGCAGGTAATGATTTTTTGGCATTTGCTTGTGAATCCAACCTTTTAGAAGTCCCATCCAGGTCATGGTGGCTAGATAGCGATGTAACTAATCATGTTGCGTTTACTATACAAGGATTTATAAATCGAAAGAAGCCAAATCAGAATGAATCAAAGCTTATCGTAGGAAACAACAATTAAGTCAACGTCGAGTTCGTGAGAGATGTGATTTTAATTCTAGATTATGGTTTTAAATTGATATTAGAAACACATTTTATGTACTTTTCTTTACACAAAGTTTAGTTTCCATATCATATTTGTACATGTATGTCTACTCTTTTGATAAATAACGATACAGTTTCTATTTTTTTTAATTAGAATAAGACTGGGTGTTGCAATATCTCCAATGGATTATACAGATTGTATTTAACTCCCAATGACACATACATTGCTTATACGGCTGAAGTAGCTTCACTCAGGTATACCACCAGACTATATAGTCTATTTGGGAGAGCATAACTATGATATTGGATGTGTGGTTGATCCAATGACTTAGGCAGATGTTGTTTCTTATCCTCAATTATATCTGTGGTTGGATGCAATAAAAAACAAAATGCAGTCAATGAAACATAATGGTATTTGGGAGCTTGTAGAATTGTTTGAAGGTCACAAGCCCATCGACTGTAAATGGGTGTATAAGAC